TCATTGCTTCATCATCCCACTCCTCATACATAACAGACATACGCTTACAATCACTGCAGTCTTCCATCATATAAAAAATAAAGTCTATAAAAAAGCTTAGGCATCTGAATCCTATGGCAGCCCTACTGTTTGAGATCTGCCCTCAGTCCTGCTGAGTACCAGTCCGTAACTGCAAACCAGCCAGTGCCACGTCCTTGGAATTCAAAAACCCCACTCTGAAGGTGTTCCCTCTGCTGCAGATACACACACCCACTGGACAGCAAGAGGCAACCTCCTCTGCCACCTGCCAAAGGTGTCCTAGGGGGGCAAGACAGCCTTGGAAAGTTCTCACCTGACCTTCTGCTGAATTTCCAGCATCTTGCTCCTGGAGAGAGGGGAAAGGTACAATGGAGTCTTTTTGCATAAGGAAAGATAAACAAGGTAATTCAAGGACACAGAAACTGCTTAAGACAACGTTGTTTTACACACTTTAAATCCTTTGGAAAACCCCCCAGAATACTGTTATTTTTGCACAAATACCATCTGGCAAAGAAAATACCATCTTCCCTGTCTTCCTGGCCCACAGCCATCATTTCAGGAAGAAGGACTGTGGTTTGATACAACAGATCACGAAATACAGAAACAGAGGACAGAGACATACTTCAGTTGGTTTGCTTCAACCTACACCAATCTCTCCTGCTCTTAAAGAGCAGGAATTTGACTGATCAGGTTGGGCGCTTTTGGCCTCTTCAAAAATCAGTCTGTTCCATCAATGTTCAAACATATTCATCCTTCCACAGGTGAGAGGCCAGAGTAGCAATTATCCATGCTGTGTGCCAGTGGCCTTGAAGCTGCAGAGCCCAACGTGGCATTTTGGCACTGCCTACCTATAATTTCACACCTTCCTGCATACAGTTCTAGGTGCCCTCCTGACAGGAGCTATAAAATCCAACCCTTTTCTATTACTGTTTCTTTTGGAAGCAATAAGATGCTTCCATTCTCCATGCACTTTCAGCATGCTGCCTGAAAAACACTGAAGCAATTGTAGGATCAAAAAGATGCACAGACTGACAACATGCAATTCACAAGAACAGATCAAATGGTATTGGAAAACAACACTAAGCAAACACATCCCATGCGAGGAGACTCACATAACTTGAGTCATCTTTTCAGTGGTTTTCTGGCACGTGGCAAATACAGGCAAATTTTAAGACGCAATAGCTTTGATTTCTTTAAGTAAACAATGGACAATATGGTATTCATGCATTCAACAGCCTTTTTCCACAAGCTGTTTCCATTTGGTTAAGAAAGGAAGGCAATCTCAATTTGTATCTGAAACAGGTACAAAATCACAGCTGTTGCAGAACTGGATCCGCCGCGCCCCCCCCGCCCCCCCCAAGCGCCCGACACGGGGAGCAGCTGACTTACAGCGAGATGAGATACAGCTGAGGCTGCAAAAAGCGCCCTCGATGCGGTTCACAAGACGATAACCAGACCGTAACACATCCGCAAGGCAATTTCCTCATGGCAAGGCTCTCAGGCGCTCACCCTCTCCCACCTCCATCCCGCACCGCCCGAACCCAGCCGGGAGCTCTGGCCATTGGACCGCGGGGCACAGGTCAGCCGCGGTGAGCCCGAAACGTCCAGTATCTATTACAGAATTACTCGGACATCCCCCCCATCGCAGCCCGGCATCTTCGCGCATCATTCCCTTGGCAGCGCTAGGCAGGCAGGACGGTCACCGCCGCAAAGGCCGACGTGCAGCGGCACAGCCCCGGCCGAGCCGCGGTGCCGCTCGGAGCGCACCGCCGGGACACGTGCCGCACACCGCGCCGCTGCGGCTCGGCCCGGGCCCCGCACCGCCGCACCGCGCAGCCCGCGATACGCGCCCGCTTCCCGCCCGGCTCCTCGCCGCCGCCCCCCCGCCGCTCACCGCCACCCGCGGGGCCGCGCCTCCTCCGCCCGCCGCGCTCCGGGTGCCGCCGAGCCCCGCTCTCGCTCCCCTCCGCGCCGCTGCCCGGCCGACCGCGCGCACCGCAGCCGATCGGCGACGCCGACGGAGGCGCGCGGCTCGGACTCGACCCCGCGGCGCGGGGAGGCGCGGCCTCGCGATGTGGGCGGAGCCCCGGATGGCCCTCGGTGAGAGGCTGGGCGCAGCGGCGGGACGGGCCTCAACGCCGCGGGCAGCAGCCGAAGCGGTGCTACGCTTGCACGTACCGGGGGGCAGAACTCCGACACCTCTCGTGATTTGTTACAACAACAAAAGCGCGGCAGTCCCAACGCTGCAAGAAAGACAGCAGCTTTGCTAACAAAGCGCTTTTTAATCAGCAAGGATAATAAAGCGCTGGAACGTTTTACCGCAAAAAATGCACGATGTTTACCTATGCCTAAATAATAAGCAGTGCAAACACTCGTCAAGGTTCTTAGATAAATATGATTCTGCTTTGAGAGCTAAGAGAATAGATGATGTTGGCATGCACCTGCCAGCCTGCAGGTCCCGCAACCCGACCCACACCTGGACATGGCTGTGCTGGGCTTCCCACGCAGCTCCTCAATCAGCAGCTCTCCAGCCCCGGAGCAGCAGAGAGGTGATCTGCTCAACAAGGTCCCGAGGGATCAGCTGGGACAGTTTGTAGTGCTGCCAAGAAACTGCACTTCATGACTGGAATTGTGCAAAATTCAGATGCACCACCCCACAAGCACATCATTTTCAAGATCATGCCTTATCAGGAAAAAAAACACCTTCCTGATCATATAAACACAGACAACGTGCTAGAAATATTATCATTTCAGGCACTAGCTAGATTTCCAATTATGATTTGCACATTGAACATTAAACCATTTCCTGTTTCTAACCCTAACAGACAACAGACTGCTGAAGGTGTAAACTTATGTGCTGAGCACGACCCACGTACAGCATGATTCCAGACAAGACTGAGAAGGTGATACCCTTCCCAGTTCTCTGGCAGGTCAGTCCATGCTTCTCTCTCACTAACACTGCAAAGCTAGGGCATTTTAAGGCTCTTTGCAACTCTCCTGTTCCTAGTTACTGCCTGTTTCTGGCTATTCCTTACCATCTGTCATAAGTGACATATCCAAATGTACAAGCTGACCTTTACACCTCAGTATGGGAAGGGTTGGGTCATGGCCTGATGGAGCAGCTGGTGAAGCCAGTCCTGGGAGCACAGCTGTGAGCAATTCACCTGTGTGACCATTAACCTCACTTAAGGGCTGGCAGCTGCAAGGGAAGCATCTCTACTTGCAGATCACTGTCTTTGTAGCATTTGGGGAGCCCTAATCCTCAGAAAGGGGAAAAAATTTCTTCTTTATGATCAGATTGTGACTGTTTCCTCTCTTGGGTGATCTGAAACTGGTTTAAGGCAACTATATCTACTGCTGCCTATACTTACAGCCTCAGACACTGAACACTGAGATTCCCTTCAACAGCAGGATTAGCCCCACATCTTTAGGAGGAAATGCTACTTTCACTTACTTCCAAAAAGCAGTGATGTTTGTAGTTACTCAGCCAAAGACACAAATGTTTTTTTTTCAGATGCTAATTTAAACCAGTTGTGGTAAATGCTTGAATTCTACATTGAACAGATCCACAGCATCTCCTTGCCTGGATGAGTTTCTGTAACTATACAAGACTGTCTTACATCAGCTCAAATTCACTTCTTGCTACTGAACCTTAAAAAAAATAAAAAAATAAAAAAGTAAAAAAAAAAATAAAAAAAATCACTACTTAAGTTGCAGATACATTCAAAAGAAGTTCTCTTCAGTTAAGGTGAGAACAATCCATGGTTTGAGATGAAGAAAATTTAACAGGTAAAGCAGAAGCTGTTCAAGCAAGCAAAGCACAAGGAATCCAATCACTGCTGTCTGTGAGCCAGGGCAGCAAGGGTCCATCATGAGCAGTGGCTACTTGGGAAGACAAACACCACAACTCCAGGACACCCCCATCCCATCTGTCCTCCAGCTTCTATTCCTGATCAGGACATCAGGAGGTATGGAATCTGCTGCTGGGCAGCTGGGGCTCACTGTCCTGGCTGTGCCTCCCCCACATCCTGCAAGGGCATCACCAGAAACAGAGACCTTGACGTACGACCAGTGCTCAGCAACAACTGAAACACTGGTGTGTTACAACATCATTTTCATCACAGATTCAAAACACAGCACAGTCCAAGCCACTATGAAGAAAATAAACTCTATCTCAGCCAAAAACAGTATGATATCCATCCCTTATTCCACACCACTTCAGTAGTGCTCAGGTCCCACTGTAACCAACAGATTAATCAGCACCCTTCAACACATACACAGGTATCTTTCACTTAGTCTGTGGGCCACCCCTGTGAAAGGTCCATAAAAACAGACACAGGATGTCCACAAAGCACATTTAGAGTGTTCCATCATGAACGGGGGTCTCTCAAGACAGAACAGGTGGTGTGTTGTCAAAATCAGTGCACAAACTAGGAATAAGAATTCTAGTTGGGAATCCCTGGATTAAGATACAGGGATTTTGTTTGTTTCTCTTTGATGTTTAAATGAGAATTGTGAGAGAAATGTTCTATGTTCATCTAGGCAGATACATACCAACATAATGTAATTTTTACTTTGGTTTTACTCGCAGGAAAAAGCCATCATCGTTCTCTAAAGACCTTTCATCTCATTAAGCAACATGAAAAATAGAGAAAAATATATCTTGATGCAAAATATACCTTAATGCTCATGCATTAAGAAATAATTGACCTAAAAGGACCAAACTAAAGCAAACGTAAAACAGACTTTCACAAAGACAACCAGATTCTTCTATGTGACACACACACTCCCACATGTCACAGGCTGGAACAGTTTTATCATGACATTCTCACAATGCTAAAGAATCCAGCAGGCACAAGAATGTAAGTGACAGTGCACATATGGCAAGTGAAATAAACATAAACACTATAGTACACACAGAATTTGTAATGAGTATAAACAGGATGATTTTTGGTTTCATTAATAACACAGAGGAGAACTGATAAATCTGTTATACTTTAATACAAAAGCTAAGGGGCTGAAAGCCCCATTTGCAGAGGCAAGACATTCTGGGTCACCGTCTTCCCAGCCTCACACGTACACACTGAGAACTCCAACGTTTTAAGAGGGAGGAATACATCACTTCCCCTTCCCATCCTCAGCCTAGCAAGCACTGAATAGCTTAGAATGCCACTAGGACAACCCAGCTCTAAGATTTCTGTGGAACATTTGAGGAGGCTTTAAATAAATGCACTTTGCCTCCTTTCCATTGAGACAGGTGCCCTAAGCTAGAATGATTCAGATAAGACCAACCCAAAATAAAGAGCTAGGTTTCATACACAGATTGCTTAAATGGAAGTCTGTGAATGACCAACAGGGCTTGCCCATAGACTGTTTCACAGCTGTCCATAATACAAATAACATGCAACTCTGCTAAGACTGAGAAGTGTATCCAAGTTCAGAAAACTAGAAAGTAACACGTGTGACATCTGCAAATTGGCCACACAGATGAAGGCAAAATACCTCTGTGTTAGAAACTAAAGCCTAAGTCATCAGTCCCAGAGAATGTGCAGCTCTGCGTCACTGCCACAGCTTCTCAGCCAGCACGTCCTCTGAAGATCAACGTTAACCAGTTTCGTAACAGAAGCAAAGAAACCACATCCTAAGAGCCAAAAAAACAAGACTTGCTGAGGTAAGGCAAATCTGCAGGGAATTAGTTTCTGAGAACTCACATCCAACAGGAAATTTTTCAATAAAACACTACCGAAAATATTATCGTTAGATTAAGATCTTCTATTTTCTCACGTCCCTGTCACGTTAGCCGATCAGCCATGATCTTCCACAATTCCTACAGGAGGGGAAAAATTCATACAGTTATTTTCTCAGATCATTAGATTGTTATTACAATAAAGCTCAACTTGCACACACTCTCTAATTCACAGAAAATCCATTTACGTAATCTCCCACAACAACCAACACATCATCTCTGAGACAGAACAAGAGAACTGAGTTCTTTATTCCTGCAGTATGATTTTTTAAAGTAAAAAAAATAGTATAATTCAAATAATTTCTAAAAATAATTTCACTGGTCTACAAAACCTGCAGGATTTTGACTGAGAATCTTGCTCTTTTTCGTAGTCTATGTTGAAAAACACTTCCAATATTGCTAGCAAAGAAGTAGCTTAAAAATAGTCCATTTATTGAGGACTCCAGGTCTCACAAATGCATACCTTATACACACGCTTCTCAACACTGCAGAGTAAGGATGAAAAACAGACACTTAGTCTTTGTAGAGTAATTTAGGGTAAGGTTCTTCTGCTATTTTAAAGATTAGCAATCAGATTATCATATCCCTATCACCACAACATCTGGAATTCTGGCAGTGTACTCCATGATCAACAAGAAGACTTCTGCATTTAAAAAAAATGTATCTATTTCAAAGGCCAGCAGCCTTCCACAAAAGGTATGTAGAAAACACGTTCACACCTGTAGATATAACTCATCTTATACATGTGTGGACTTATTATAAAACATTCATGGAAAATCTTATGCCTGAAGGTGTCAGCACTAAGAAAAGCAAATTAATCTCATGAAATTGCTGTGAAACCCATAGCCATACTATGCATACACACTGTACCACACAAAACAGTACGTTGGCTCCATGACTGCAGATTCAGAAGCTAGTACAAGACTTGCAAGTTCTCCCCAAAGGTCTCTTACTTTGTATTGCTACAGAAGCTAACAAGCTACTAGCTGGCCTGCGTAATACTCAGAAGAGTAGACAATTGGAAAAAAGAACAGAGAGGAAACCATGAGTGCTTGGAATGTAATTTAAATAATGTATCTGATACATCTCTAAACACCAGAAGTTTACTACTTGTCAACTTCTCCATATGTATGTATAAGAACAATATTACCTCAACCCTGATTGGGAATTATGGAAATAATAAAGCGAAAGCTTTTTTACATTCAAAGAAATAAAGAAGATACCGGCCCATTTTCCAGTCAATCACAAAAATTGTTATTTTACAAAGTCCCGGAGATTGCTCTCATTTCCTCAGAGGTTAAGAAACAATTTAAGCCACTGAACTGTTCTGTGATAGAAAAGGACACATTATGCCTATTTAGTGGGGGCTGTGTAAGCACTGACAAGAATCATTTTAATACAAGGAAAACTAAATGGAAATAAATAAGAGCATAACATTTGTTCTTCTGTTCTTACTTCATGTTCAGTACACAGCTGAAAACTAATTTCAGATTGCCAGCCCAACATATGCCATTTATTTTAATGAATGCCACTTACCAACTGCTCAATCCTTTCATAAGTAAGAAACTGGCAGAAATCAGGCTTAATGGGTTCCACACTGTATTTCATTTTTCCATCATGAAGGTTCTCCAAATCATTTAGAGTACTTCGAAAATGACTGTAGGCTTCACACGTAACATCCATCTGTCTTAAAGTGAAATTCAGCCTGGCAAGACAATATTTAAATTAAAACCTTTTTTGTATACCTACATCTTAAACAGCTATGTAACTTTCTGCAGCTAATGAGAAACTTAGGTCTTCTCATAGTAATTCCTTTCCAAAATAAAAAAAAAAAATAACCCCTTGCTGCCCCAGAAAGCTTGTCCTATCCAAAGTCTTGTCCTGCCAAAAACCCAGTAAGTCTTAGATGAGCCTTTCCATTGATTTTAATACATTCTGGTCCAACGAAATAACTGCCTTTGTTTCTGGGACAAACACTTTGGACCAAAACACACGAATAGCTATTGTGTACATACCTTGAAGCATAATCAACTTACATACTAGTTTATGAACAGACTTCAACATACAGCTACTCAAAAGCACACAATTCCTTGAAAGAAATCACAAGAGCAATTACAACTGGGGGGGATGCGAGCTAGGAAATGTGTGTATTTTCTCATTCTGAGCCCTTTCACTCTGCTCCATAAGCATAGGACCTCAAAACACAGCAAATTTTGTCAGACATTACAGAATACATTACGCTGGCCACCTATTAATCTTTATTTGCACAAAGGTTACCTAATGCATGACAAAAGTAAGATCACAAAAGCCACACTTTTCTGGTGGTCAAATTCTGAACTTACAAAAATTACAGAAGTTTAACAAATGCTTGCACTGGGCATTCAGAGCAGCCTTCGATCAACCCAGAATCAGAATAATCAGAATCCAGCCTTCAGGCACATCAGGGCTTTCACTCAAGGAAAGGAAAGAATGTAAGATTCTAGTCCTTATGTTTGGATGTTGGTAATACTTGCCTCTTTTCTATGGCTAGGAAAACTGTGCAAGAATGTTTCAAGTTATGTGTGACTCTATACAGCGTTCTGAAGAAGGCATCTGTCAGATCATCGTCATAGAACACTATGGGAAGAACATGAAGAGCACATGGCATTTACATGTAAGCATTTACTAAATCTCAGGCTTGAAACAACAAGAAGCTTTAATTCTATTATTATAACCAAACAAATCATTACTTTATCTAAACCCCCATGTTTATTATGTATACATGTATTACACATTTAATGGCAATGACCGACCCAGCGACAGTGGGAATCACTTCTGCCAGGCAACTTACAGAACTTTAACAAGATCTCTCTCAGCTGGAAATACCTTACTGCAAAGCTAAAAAATCACATACCATATTTCTTTCCTTTTTTTCCCCCCCACTTCATTAAGAACAGGGAAAAAAAAAAAAGCCAGAGAGATGCAATAGGACACATGCAGTACCTAAAAATCTTCCCACACTATGGAGCATACTAGCGTGGCCACCTATCTGTCTTTACTTGCACCAAGGTTATCTGATTCAAGATAAGGGTAGGACAACAACACGTAACTCTTCTGAAAATCAACTTTATCACTTATGAGCAACTTTAAATAATTTACTCAGTTACAAATAATAAGGAAAGGCTATTAGATTTTTCACTATCTTATTCTTCTATTGCTAATTCAGACAGTAAATAGAATACAGACAAGAACACTCGAGGCAGAGATTTGACAAACTAAGCTAAGGATTTGATCTATCACATTTCAAAAGCAAACTAGGTGTAGTTAAGTTGTTCCTCAAAATGCTCAAGCGAGCATTTTTGATTTAAAAGCTTGCTGGTTATGTTTTCCTACCATCAGCTGCCATTATCACAGTGCAGTGGTCATGCAAATCTGCAATCTCTTCTTCAGACCAGCTATAGAGAGCTTCTGGATCTGTAACAAAAGAAGAAAGCTTATCTTTAAACTACACCTTTAACTGTTTGATAGATTAAAAAAAATTACTTTAATAATTTAAATTTAGTGATCAGCTACTCAATAAGCAGAGCAACTCACTGAAGGGAAATCACAGCCTCCCCCTGTTTGCTCTCTGAAGTTCCCTTTGGTCCTTTGCTTTTGCTCTTCCTCTCTTGCTCAGGGCTGATTGATGTGACTAAGCTTCCCTTGACATAAGAATTTACTACCAGTTACTATCCTGCAGCAAGAGTACAGATTCAGTTAAAAACAAATGCATTTTTTTATTAAGCTTCCTCCTGCTACGCTTTCTAAAATCTAGAAGCTTTCTGTGAATATCTGAAAACCAACAAGCCTGTTCATCTGGCAGTGTCAAGTATTTTGAATAAACACCTGAGGTGCAAGAAAAGCTTCAAAAGCGTAAGGATGATTTTACTTCCTTAAATAGTTGTTCAACTTTTTGAACCATTCCATCATATTACATCATATTTAACAGACAAAAAGCCTAAAAAGCAAAACAGGATTCATAAACCCTACTACTGCAACAGCTACCTACCAGTGCAGAATTCATCTTTCAGCCAGTCCAGTTCTTTCACTTTAATTTCTCCTCCTGTGGGTGTAGAAAGATCCCAACAGTGACAAATGATCTTTCAGTCAGTACTGAAACTTGTGATAAGATATACTAAAAGGATATATGAAACAAATAAGACTGGACATAATTTACAAAACCAGTCATCCACTGACAAAAGGAGAATAAGACAAACTTAATCATCAGAAATATCTTAATTTCTTTTCTACATGTCACTTGCAAGTTGCAAAGTTCAGCCTCTGCAATTTGCACTGTTTACACGACCCTTGGCACCTAAACGTCCATGATCCTCACAATTACCTCAGTGAAATGAACATAACAATGTAGAAGCCACAGCTGGGCTTAACTTCTTAACAGAGAAAGATTGAATATTTTGCTCCTTTCCAAAAGCAGCTATCCCATTCTGAAACACGTACAGATTTCTTGCATCTTTCTAAATGAGTCAGTTCTAACCAAAACAGAAGTTGAGTTTACCTGTAAAAACGCCAGCCAGCTTGCCAATGACTTCTTATAATTCACAGACAAGCAACTGCACGAGTACTGTCTGCACAGCACTTACCTCCTGGTTCCATCAGGTGCTTGTTTAATGCAACATTTTTTTCACACATGGCCAAAAGATCTTCACCAACATCTGGAAGAAAATAATGACAGTATTCAAAATGAGAACATTTCACATGTGCTGTACATTCCTCTGACCTCTCAGATTATTGGTCTCAACTTCTCTCAAACTAAAATTCAGAGCAGCTCCCTTCCCTCGTGACTGCTTCCACAGCACCCTTGCTTTTTTCTTTCATTACTAAGCTCCATTACAAAGCACATGTCATGATAAAAGGAGTTAGATCACCATACTATCTATTTTAATCTAAAAAAGTATTTGGTTTTTAAAACACTTGCACCTGGAATTATTGCTGCTTTTTCAATCTGTCATGAAAGTGCTTGCCATTTTTCAATAAACAACAACATATTCACGGAATCACAGGAATTGTAGGGGTTGGAAGGGACCTCCAGAGATCATTGAGTCCAACCCCCCTGCCAAAGCAGGTTCCCTACACCAGGTTCACCAGGTACACCAATGCATTTTATATGCATTGATAACAAATTAGCAACTAAAAAAAGAGCAGGTGATGAAAAAATCCCAGAATGAAAGTACTGGTTTGCAATATTTCATTAAAAATAACTGCCTTACCTGTGCAATAAACTCTGCTAGCAATCATTCCCATGATGATGCTTGCAATTCCTGTGCCACCTCCAAGCTCCAGCACTGTGCAACTCCTGAACATCTCCCGTTTAAACAGAATGTAATCAGCAAGAAGAAAGGCTGCACGCCAGACCTTTGGAGAGAGTAGCAGTTAAACCAGAGAAATTCTGAAGCACAATCCACAAACAGCAAGACAATACAAAGCAGTACACATACTTGTTTACCAACATCTTCTAAGGGGGTTGCCATAGTATGCTCTGTGAAAATGGAAAGAGAATATTGTTTCAAAACACTGTTCAAATCAAGTTGCATAATAGCAAATTTGAAAAGTCAATTAATGCTTCCCTTTTAAGTCTAGAACTAAGCACTAGTAATTCTACACAGTAATGCTGGAGTAATGCTGGAGTGGGGAAAACCCCACTCTAATTAAGGAAAGCCATTTCTCCATGATACACAACTGTCCAAAACACTTTTGGAGAAGCGCTGTTTTTAAAGCACTTAACAATATCACAGTATTACTATGGCTTATTATCTACTTCGACTTACCAAGTTCTCTTTCGTTTAAAAGACCAACTTAGTTTTTCTTTGTTTTACTTCAGCAGATATTTATTCAATTTCTCCTTGAACATAAGCCTACTATTTACCTATTTTAACAACACTGCTGCAAGTGCATTCTTGTTCTTCTTCAAATGCATTTTCTTTTCCTCTCATCAGAATTACAGGATATACTCTATCCCTCATAAGATCCTCTGTCTCTGAGTCACTGGCTCTTTGAGGCCTTCTGACCACTTCCAAGTCTCCGTCCTCATCTAGCAGAGCTTCTATTCCTTCACTGTTCAATTCCTTTTCATATTTCAGACTATTCCCATCCTTGTTAGTTAGTTCATCTCCACCTCTGTACTGGTGTTCTCTGTCAGTTGTAGCTTCTCTTGCATACTTCTCAGAGGCCCGATCATCTGTGTTCCAAAGGAATTTGAAATACGACAGGAACACTGCAAGAACACGGAGTGGGAGGAGGATAAAGTTAAAGATTGTATAATCCATGAATATTAAGATGTTATAATTACAAAATAAACAAGAGTTTGGCAAAGCAGATTATGATAACAGAGACTAGATAGAAACTTTACCCGTATCCTGGGCTCACTTAAAAAAACTCCAGCAGAGCAGATCTCTAGAAAAGATCCTTCCCCACTGGTAGCCAGCTCTCCAACAGGTCTAGGAGCAGAGCTGAACTGCCTTCACCTGTGCTCCTGTGGCTGACTCAGTGCTCCCCTCAGAGATCAATCAGAGGTTCAGGCTGTGACTCAGCAGTTCCCATTAAGATCAACGCTAGGGAAGAATGGAATCTATACGCAACCTCCACTTGCATGACATTTGATATGCATTTCATATACCAAAAAATCTAGAGCAGTGAAAGCGTTACAGGTATCTCGGAATACAGCTCTACTTGCTAGAAAGAAATATTTCTGCTAATTCTGCTAAGTCAGAAGGGATAAATGAAGCACTACCAACTGCTGGTTGACTAAGCATCTACTCTGTCACAGTTTACATTTTCACCTTACTTAGAAACTTGTTTCAGCAATCAGGAAAATAAATGGTTTCTTACATCCTCTAACAGATCTTCTGTTGAGGTAGATTAAGTTTAGAGAAGAACGAATATCACAAATTAGGAATTATATCAACATGAGGAAATGAACTCTATCTTAACGGACACAAACACGTTTCAGAAAAAAAAGTAAAAGGAATTTCTTTTTCTACTTTGAAACCCTTTTGAGACTCAAGTAACTTCTCACCTTGCCATCAGCTTGAAGCTGCAAGAGGCAGCACAATAAGCAGTGTGCCTCCTGTCAGCTTAGGTTGGACTTACTGACGCTTTTTTTTTTTTTTTTGCCAAGAAAATGTCTATTGAAAACAGCCTACACCAGCAGTATCTAAGAAGAATTTCTTGGAAATGAGTTCACTCCCACCAAGGGGAAACTGTTTAAACTGTTTGCCCACTATCGATTTCAACAGTTTCACAATTTATGGAGTTCTATTTCAGTTGCTTCAGAGATATCCGAAGTTGGACATACTGGGTACTATGGGAACATGAGAAGTCCTTCTCTAGAGATCATAACAGCTAGATCTTACAAAAATCTTCACTGTCTATCCAAGCACAAGAAATTTAGGACGTCAGCTACTGTTCGCATGATAACCACATTAAATGGATTTGATGAATTAGAGGATGCAATCAACATATCACAGAATCATAGAATATCCTAAGTTGGAAGGGACTCTGCTCTCTAAGTTCACTCTGATCCTCAGAATTTCAAAATGGAAAATTGATCCAAATAAGCAAGGACGAAATCCCCAGGAGGTCCTCTAAAAACAGCGAAGTGGTGGTGGCAGATTATTGCTGGATTTTTTAGAGTAGAAGCTGTCATACTACAACCCAGCCCTGATATGGGAAATTCATTTATTTCTTAAGACTACAGACACTCAGAGTACATAAATCAGACTGTCATGTTACTGTGTTGGAAGGTTCTTTGTGCCAAGGAGAGTCACATCAAACAAAGACACCACAGTGACTGAACACCTAGTGGGAAGGCAGGGCCCACCCAGGGGAGCTGAGGTGCATGCAATGTACCAGAGTGGATGGAAGGGCAGGAGCCAGATCCACCCATTCCCAGACCTCATTTGAGGGTAGAGGCAAGGGTATCTCACTGGAAATCCCTGCCTACCTGAGGCCATCCAAGGGTAAATAGATTTTTTTTCCCTTTGTTTCTGTACCCACGGCTGATACATTTGGGCATATCCTCACTTGCTGCGGCCTGTGACTTTGATACCTTGTTATCATTGCTGTGCTTTCCGCTGCATTATAGTGTTACAAGCACATTTTACTAACAGCTTCAAGGACATTTCCCTTGACAACCTTATAGAAACCTACAATCTGGTAAAGGCAGTCATTTGCCAATTCATTTCCACTAAGGGCTTGATTCTTTCATTTATATAAATCAGTCAAGCTCATTGCTATATTCAGATTGGTTGTAGCCAATTTTTTTAAATTAAAAAAAATACTACAACAGAACACAAAACAAAGCTGCTGGGTTCCTCTGGAACAGATGGTAAATCACCATTTAATGATTTTATAAAAAAACATAAATGAATTACTTATGTACTTAATTCAAGTGGCAGTGTTTAAAACTGCTGGTGTCTCACTTGTAGTCTATATGCAAGACACAAACTAACTCCTTAACGTGATCCTCAAAGGTGCTGTCTTGAGATTCTAGGTAAAGGAATAAACACATAAAATTAAGCTTGCACAAATACTGATGTTACTTCTTCTCAGAAAGTAACTTAAGCTGTTTTTTTCTGTTCTAAGATGGGCCATCTACAAATCCATATTAATAGTTTTATGTAGCTATTTTCATGAGGAGAACCCAGTTAGCCCTCTTCCCTCTGAGCAGGAGCAGTTCTGCTTCTGCTCAGAGTAAAATACATAACGATTACTATCAACCAATCAAAGGAGGACTAAGACAATACGATAGACTGTAATTAAAACACAGTTCCATCAGTCTAAACATGCATTACCTGGCTGCCCAACTGCATTCAATCGTACCATGAGATGACTTTTGTTGGGACAGTGCAAGTGCACGTCAGAAAGGACGGTGTCACTTTTGAACGTGAGGTTATCCATCTCCTTCTCCGTGACATCTCCCATGGCACGTCAGTGAGAGGGACACCTATGGGGACAGCCGCTGTCGCCAGGCAGCCCACTGTGAAGCACAGCTGCCATGGAACTGCTCTGCTCAGCACAACCTCATGGCACAGCTTCCAAGGCCTCGGGCAAGCTGCAGTCACGCAGTCTCCACTGCGCCCTGATGAGATACGGGGCTGTGCATGGGGGTCTCCAACCTACAAGCAAACACAGACAGCTTTCAGCTCAGTAACACTGCCCTGCGGTGAGGAAACAGCTTACATCAACAGCTGAATTACAGGGCTGCAGTGTTGCTTTTGCAATGCTCCAACAGCTACAGTTCACCACAAACACCACACGCTCCAGAAAGGCACACCGCTTGTTAAGTTGTGTTAAAAGCAACCAGCCTTGCCGTGATAAACCAAAGAACCCGCAGAGCCGCGCAGTGAAGGCTCCCTCACACGGCGTGGCTCCGTACATTTTGTACGAGTACTGGCTCTTCCCGGAAAAACCTGGCTCCTCTCACGTGCCCCCACCAGAAGGGCAATCGGTGAACGTATCCCGCTGTCTCTCAGTTCTCTATTTTTCTCCACAGAAACAAACAGCAACCCTCCTCGCTGCCCCGTGCCCGCGGCTCCGCCGGTTCTGTTCTAAGGCACAAACATTTCCCCTAGAAACAGACACAAAAAACCGACATTTATTTCCCCGGACATTCTAAGAAAGGCGTGTAAAACATGAGGGCAGCGCAACCGTGAGGACAACGTCACTCCGGCTCACACACACCGGAGCAGCACCGCCCGCCCTCACGCACACGGCGCCGCCATCTTGGAGCCCCCGGCTCCTTCCGGCGCGCGGCTGACGCGCCCGCCCCGCCCTCTTCGCCGCCATTGGGTCAGTCAGAACGAACGGCCTCCATGGCCGCCTGCCTGCTGCCGCCTGCAACTGCAGTAAGCAAATAACGCTCTCCAAAACTGTGCCATGTGCCTATGAGAGCTACATAAAACACGGGATAAAACAAGAATACCCTGACACCAAAAAAGCATTCAAATTAGAGCAAATACTCAAATGAATTCCATCTCCTTTGGCGTGACATGTGGAAGGACAGCCGTTGGAGTTGGTGCTCGGCCTCGAGCATCACAGAAGAAATCAGGCACGTTTATGCTTTCACCAAGAGCAGCCATCTTCCAGCAGCTTTTTCAACTTAACGTACTGCGTGTGAAAAATATTTAAAGCTAAGTGCAACTGAATCACATCAAGTCAAGAAGCAAAATGATATCGTCTCATTATGAATGTAAAAGCAAGATTTAAAAAAAATATATACTCCTGGTTGAACAGGTTCTTGCAATACCATGGCTCAAAATTGAAGAATTTTGCTTGTTTGCTGGGTAAGAACAGCTGAAGTGACACACCGTCATTTTCCTGTACTGCAACTATGGCTGTCAGAAAAGCCAGCAATGGACAGAAAAATAGAAAACTACAAGTTCTGCAGGTTCAGAAAAAGCAACTTGTCAGTTCATATACTGTTCATGAGCACTTTGTTGTTAGGGAGCCAGCAGATGGACAGCAGTGGTCCTTCCCCTCTGCTCGGCACTGGTGAGGTGGTACAGAGTGCTGTGTCCAGCGCTGGGTCCCACAGAGAGAGACCATCATAAGAAGGCGAGGGTCCACTACAGGGCCGTGAAGGTTTGAGGGGGATGGAGCACCTCTCCTGTGAGGAGATGGAGAGAGCTCAGGCTGTTGAGCCTGGAGAAGGCTCAGGCGGATCTCATCCTTGTCCATAAATACCTGGAGGGAGGTGCAAAGGGGATTCAGTTCATAAAGACATCTCAGGTGACGGTACAGACAACACAGTGAACTCACAGGTTGTGTATAATTGCGGTCCAACAGACATGCAGCTTTTCCACAGTACACTGCACACTGAAGAAGTGATGTGATTGATTTCCCCATTCATAGTTCTAGCCTTGCAATCAGCACAGACACTGAAAATAACTGGATTTTGTTGAAAGATACTCAGAAGTCTGGTTGCTGATTATATTCAATTCAAGGTACGTTCTGATCTGATGCTTAGGAACAGGTATCATGAAAGCTGAAGAGCCTATGGCAGCTGGTCTATTATTTTACTGACCCATTCCCTATCCCCAAAATCTCACTAAAGCAATATATTTTGTAACAGTAATAAAAACGGTAGTTTAAAACAATAGCTTTGGGTCACATTATAATGAAATAGACAAAGGAAAAAGATCTTTCTCGGCTTCAGATTAAAAGAGCAGCTATCAGAAAGGCCACAGGAGATCACCAAGGAACTAAGTATAACAATAAAAAGCAGCTTAATATCTTGTTTTTCACATTGACATTTATGTGTGTGCATCCAAATTTTTGCTCTTGGTGAGTGCAGAGGAAGTGGTGCTATGGGCACAAATACATATATTCTTTTAATAATTTTATATCTAGTACCACACATTACCATACTGAATTAATATCTTATAACACTGACAAATGTTTATCCTCCCAATCCATTTGTGAACTGGCTGATAGTGATTACACTTTCTTCGTAAGAGAAAAAAGCATTAAGGTTTTTAGGAATTGCATGTCCAGGCGGCAGCACCAAGTGCCTTTATTTAAACTGCTTTTCCAAAGCAACTTAATATTCTTTGCATGCAGCAGGGAACAAAATTAGAACTACTTGTTCCTACCCTAATGCCCTAACCACAGTGCCCTTGGATGCCCAGGCTATTCTACTCTTCTTATTACAGATACATTAAATCAGAATGAAAAGTGAGAGCACGTACCAGTAAGTAAAGGTGAAATCTGACTGTAATGCTATGATCGCACCCTGTGTATTTCTGCAGTAATGACAACTATGATTAGCATCCGCTGGTATGCAAAGTGCTTTGAACTTGGAATGAATAAAAAGACTGTTATATAGATGAAAAATCAGTGGAGAACTTTGTTTTGCTATCCAAGCACATGACACCTCGGTGCTGGTCAGCAGGTTGAAAATCCCTACATCACTGCTTGAGGTTGAAAAGTTCATGAGGAGTCAATGAACAATAATTTAAAAGGGCAAGTGCAGCTGTCAGCTTCTGTGTTTCCATATTTCTTGAATATCTACTTCTTCCCAGGGGAAGCTTGCCTCATCCAGCAAGAAAACCAAATTACAAGGCAATGACAGCAGTGCAGAGCTAAACCCACAGTGATTTCTTTTTCATTAACTATTTTGTGGTTGTTTATCAGAAACATTCACTCTCTGATTATAGCATTATTCTCCATGGGATCGTTCAGTACAAGAATTTGCATGCCTTTGGCACCATCCCATCAGGGCTTCTCCCATCCATCACAGGCAGATTTACATAGAATATTTTCTGAGAGAGGTCTGTATGTCACATGTCAGATGGTTCTTAAAACACACCCAAATTCTCTTTAAGCAGGAGGAAAAGAGCAAACTGAAGGTGAGTGAAAAGCCCTCTCTTATGCTCAAGCATACCAAATCCATAAAACACAGAAGCACCCTGATGCATTCAGTAGCAATCACAAATCATTGTCTTTTAAATTGAGATCTTTAAGCTAGATTACAGGGAAGAACTGCAGAAAGGCATTTGATGCTCGCATGCTCTATACCAAATGCTGTTGTAAAGTTTTAGTGAAGACTTTAACACTGATTAATGCTCCAGAAAGTAAGAGAAAATTCCATCCATCCATTCTGCTCATTTCTGCCCACAACTTCTTTCCCATTCCCCTGCCCACCTCTGGGGGTGGTCAGTCTCTTCTGAGATTTTTAATATAAAATTAGGCTCTTCGAGGTCAGAATGCTGCATTTTGCTACGCTGCACCCTGTGGGCTATTAATTATCTGTGATATCTGAGTAGCAGGTTGTACACAAAGGGTACTGCTCCTTCTCCACAAAGATAATTCTACGTTAAAATCTAAGCTCTTCCTACACTGAAAACCCCAGTGTGACTTCCAAGTTTGTGTTATTTTTAGAGATCTCAGTAGATTTGTAATTAAATCTCTGGTGAAGCCAGCCTGTGCCACTGGCTTCTTCCTTTCATTATGGACCCTTTCTCATGAATACATGAAGATGTTTTGATGAACTGGGATTCTTTTGTTTTCCGACTTTGTAGAAGTTCATTTTGTTTTTCTTCTCAGCATGAGAGTGAATGCCTGCAGATTATGCTGATGTGGAAATTAAATCTTGAGCTGATATATTCTTGACATTAATTTTTCTATCATCACAGGGCATAAAAGGATCAGGAGCTAGCAGGTCTAGCTTTTGTTTTCTGTAAATTTAAGCCAGACAGATTCTGCAAGGACCTCCACATATTCTGACGACTAAAACAAAATTATTTAGTAATGTTCCTAAGAATAAGCACGTCTAGAGCTCTGTGGCACCAAGCTTAGGGAAAACAACTGTCCGGGATGCATGTCACAGACGTGCACCCTGTGTGGTAGCATTATTCTGGGGCCACTTGGACCTACACAGCTTAAGTGCTGCTGTTTCATTCTGTGACACCCTTTGCTTTCCCTTGACATTAACTGGAGGTGGGCGATGCAGGCTGGTTGAGATGTGTGGTTGGCTCAGACCTGAGAAGTGAGCTGATGAACCATCTGCTCAATGCGTGATGCTTGTGGGGCCAAATAAGTTTGCAAAACAGATAAGTTTGGAGTCCCAATTAAGATTCGTGCCCCAAAGCTCATTTATGTCTTATTACTGGATCAATGAATCTAATGAAACATTTCACCTTGTTCCGCGAGGCTTGTATGGCTTCAGTCATCTGATAACAACAGCTGCTTAGTTTGTAGAATGACACCAGCACTTTCATGTATTACAAATACACCTGGGGGAGGCAAGAGATAATAAAAGCTCAGAATAAAGATGCAGTCGCTTAACTGTGTATTCCAGAATGGAAAGACTATTATAAACGCCAGCAATGCACATCCTTGTTTGGAGTTGCACAGCAAAACACAGGCAGGAGTGATGCTGATGGGTGTGTGTAAATAAACACGCTCTTTCCAGGAATATTTTCCTTTGAGCTTATCCTGCTGCTGAAAGCACACCTGAGAGCTTGATGCCACGAGTGAGTCACACGTCGTGCCCCGTGCCCATGCCACAAAAGAACAGAGAAGGACCGTTTAACGACTGGGCGTTACTTAACGTTCCCCTGGGGAGTCTGGGACGAGTTCTGAGCAAGCAAGCAGCAGAACGAGGCTCCCTATGGAGCGCCCGTGCGGACCGCCCGGGAGCCGCGCTGCTGCCTGCGTGCCGCCGTCAGCGGGACCCGCCGTGCCGGCACCGAGCGGCACCGCGCGGCACCGAGCGGGCACGGGCATCGCCTTCTCCCGCACCGCCCTTCCCGTCAGCGTGCATCTCCTCCCGCGGTCCGACGGGCAGCATGAGGGTGAGCCTGAGCGTCCTGTCGCTGCTCCTGGCTCTGGTGGGAGCCTCCAGCTTCGTCTTCCTCGTGGTGGCCATCGCGACGGACTTCTGGTACATCATCGATGCCTCCCGCCTGGAGACGGCCGCCAACGGCACGGCCGCGCTCAGCTCGCACTCGGGGCTCTGGCGGACCTGCCGGCGTGAGTGGGGCGGCGGGGGGCGTCGGGGGGGTCCCGGACCGCGCCGTGCCGATGCCGTCCTCTCTGCTGTCCGTAGCCGGGGGCCGCCCGCCCCACCCGGGCTCTCCCTCCACGCACGGAGGACGCCCGACGCCTGACTCCTGCTGCTGGGCAAGGGGGCACGAGCAGAGCGGATTTTCTGTTCTCGCAAAGTAGTTCGGCATTAACTTTTAATTCAGACCAATTGAATAAGCGTTAAACATTTAGAAAGGAAGAGATCTGTTTTCATTTGGCTCAGGGGAAATTAAGGGGAGGAAGTACAGCGGGGTTAAAGCCATTCCAGTGATTGCCGATGATGGAAACAGCATATGCGCCACCACACAATGCTCACTTTGTATCCCTAAATCGTGGCAACATATATCATTATGTATGTGTTATATTATTGCTTATGTATGATAATAATCTTTAGCTTAACGTTTTTCCTATTTATTTTTCCCCATCTATATCAGTTAGGAGCAAATGCTACCCTTTGATCAACCCCTTCAGGCACGAGAATGCAAACATCACCGACTCACACCGACAGCTCTTATGTGAGTAATTTCTGTGTTATTTTCCTTCTATTCCCCCACCCTGGGCCACGCTCATGCTCCCAGAGCTGCTTCAGAGGGGGCTGTGAGAACTGCACTGTACAGTCACTGCATGTGGTCCTTAAGAGGGATTGCTGCTGGCATAACCCTCTGCTTGATGTCAGGTTCAGCCAGTTTCTGCCAGAACAGCACGTTTGTGCTGGGGGAGGGCGGGGGTTACAGAAGGTTCACAGCTGTTATAAAAGAAAGGCAGGAATGTTGAAGATTCCCACACAAGAGTTTAATTCCTGGAAATGTGTAAGCATACTTTTAAATTAATGTTTAAGTCAGTCACTTATCTACCTTGTCATTGGGATCCATCCCTCTGAAAAAATATCATGGTACAGGAATTTAAGAAAACAAATCAATAACTGAAAGAAGCATTAATGCTCTGTGAAGAACATCGTGCTCAAAAGGTTACTTGAAGTTTCTAACTGCACAATTGATGTTCTTTTGCTTTAGATTCATTTGTCAGAATCAGAATGTTTTCAGAATATTTCAGAACATTTTCAAATCCTTCTGGGCACCTGGTAAAAGATGAATTTGCTTCTTTGCACCACATTCAGCATGACACTTTGTTCATACAAGAGCTTGTTTATGAGCTTCCTTTTTTGTATACCTATCCTCTCTGATTGTTTTCCCCTCACAAACAGAACACACACACACTTATCCTGTGTCTTTTCCTCAGAAACAGCCATTTCCCTGAGCACCCCACGACACAGCCAGCAGTGCAGCCAATGTGGCAAAGTAAGCCCAGGGCTACTGATGTAATGTGGCTGTGTTGCTGGGAAGTTTAAGTAGAAATAAACAGCATCACCACCAACACACTGACAGGTTGGAGCCTTGCAGCACAGACCATCTCTGCACTTGGAAATAGAAAGGTGCCATTTTTTTCCACTTTCCTTCCTTAAGACAGAGGGCTTTAGCTTCACGATGATGGTGAAAACTGTGAAGATAACTAACAATGATTGCCTCCTGCATCGCTGAATCCTTTAAGGAGTTCAAAGTTAACATTTAATTGATTAAACCTAACCACACCAATCACATTTACATACGGGCACCTTGACCAGTGAGGTCAGAAGTTGCCTAAAATGTCAGGACAACATTATGTCCGTGTTTGCAAATGCTACATCTGTAATTCCTCTCACATAAAGAGGTTTTAGATTACAGCTCTTCAGTGAAAGCTGAATTCTGCTAAAACAGAATCAAAACTATTCCAGAGCTATTTATTATAAAAATGACATTGGCTTGGAAACAAAGGACACCTCTTTGGTAGTCAGGCAGGGTAAGAAAAGAGCGGATATGTGAAAAAATTGGATCCATAAGTACACATACAGACTCTTCAGAGCCTCAGAGAGATTTTGTCTCTCACATCATCAAACACCACTTACAGTTTCTTAGGCAGAGCTTGCAAAGATGCTTGCATGCTTTATTATGAACAGGCATAGCCTGCCTAAAAATGAGATATAAGGGCACTTTTTAATTAAATGAACCTGTTGATTTGATTAGAATACCCAGTAAAGAACTCTGATGTTTTAGACGCACAGCTTCAATGCAGCTTCAGTGGATTGCACAGCAATAGCAGCTGCACTTCTAGGAAATACAGACATTTCTAAAAGTGCCATCTGGTTTGGTATGGATGTTCTACTTCAGCCTTGTATTTTTTTCTTAAAGTCTTTTTCTGACTGTGGTTCCTGGATCGTATTTAGGCAGATCTGGGCAAACCTTAATTGACAACAAATTTTAACTAGGCTTTTGTAGGACAATTCTAGCCTCCTCAGTTCCAGCGTTATTAGGGTAATTCAGGCAATTTCTTCATGTGTTGCTATGCAGGACAATGCAGCTAACTGCGCTGCCTTCATCAGTCAGTTTAAAAAAACTCTATTTTTTTCTGTGTTCATTTGTGGATGTCAGTGTGAATAACACTCACATGGAATTAATCTCAATCTGCCCAGAGGTGTGCTTGCTTTTCTCACTGTTTGATTGGCAGACTGAATTTCAGCAGCTCTGCTAACATTGCGTGTTCCTCGCCTGTTATTCCCAAAAAGCTTTAAAGCACTGTCTCCTAGTGCAGGCACTTAAGTCTCTCATCAGTAATCTTGCTCTGCTTTTTTCAGTGTTCCTACACTCTTTCTGGCATGACGTTAATAGACACGAGTGCCAAAAAGATGGGAGAGAGTCTGTACCTGCGTGCAGAGAGCTGGGTCTAAGTGAAAAAGAAGGGCTGGTGGCTGACAGAGGACAAACCCCTCGTCGTTAGAGAATGAAAAGCCTTCGTTTTCTCTCCCTCCACATTTCCAATCTCTCCTATTCATCTCCAGCAGTTTCCTTGCAGGCTTATTGTGTGCTTCAAATAGAACTCCAGACAAAACAGAAAAATTGGGCATTCAAATTAAAGTTCCGTTCCACCAGCAGCATTACTCAGGCAATCAGAGCAGGTCTTCTTAACCCTGAGAGTGCAACGTACTTTCACATCACTGCAGCACCTCTGAGCTGTTTCTTTCATGGCTCAGCTACAAGCATGCCTTGTCCAGTACATTAAGCTCCCAGTTCTTTCCTCATCCCTCCCTTCAACTGAACATATGACATAGACCCTCTCACCCCCAACCTCACAGTGTACAAAATGCTTTCAAACTACAGATTACTTCATAGGAGGATGATATATATAAACAAATATATATGTATATTTGTTTGAAACACCAGCCACTGTTTAAAGAAGATATGACCAGACTCGCTTTTCTGACATTTCTGCATTTATAAAATGTTTTTCTACTGCAGGTATTTTCCTCTGCTCCATACACAGTTTTACGAAATATTGTGAAAAGATACATTTCTGAGGGAAATGCCACTAAGCTTTCATAATGTAACTATCATTTCCTTTTTCTGGATCTGCTCTGCTAATTCAGTGTAATGAAAGCCTGTCCATTTTGTGCAGAAACAAAAAAAGCCTATTGTGCTTCTGGGCACTTCATTACAAACATGGGTTTTGACAACAGCAGCCCAGGGTGCAGCAGGCTTTGCACATCTGAAAGGCCTGAAACATTCTTGTGTTGAGCAAAAGTGCTTGAACCTGCCTAGTATTTCCCCAAACAATTCCTCAATCAGAATGACTGAGCTGCCTCATCCCAGAGTCAGAGCCAACCCAGTCACCCATTCAGCAAAACATGAAAGAAGTCAAACCTACCACAGTCACCAACTGGAACAGCAGTGGCAGCCAGAATGAAAACATCGCAGAAGACAGCAACAGTAGTGCAAGCAGGTGAACATCCCTAATTTCTTCTGCGTGTCTACAGACAACGTTTTTTTCCTCCAAGTTGCTCTTAATCTTTGTGTTGGTGGTGCAAAGTCTTCTACCACGCTGGGACATCCAATCAAAAGGGATTCAGCAGTCAACTGACTGAGCACTGGAACACTGGCATTGCTTCTGCTCCTACCAGTGCCAAATGGACAGATTACAGCGAGAGCATCACTTTCCATAACTTTGACACTTACTAAGGTCTGCTGGTGACCACCAGGGCTACAACTGAAATCTGTCAGCAGAAGCAGCTCAGATGCCTTTCTCCTCCATGCATTCTCCTGTGCCAGCTATAGGAGACAGGCAGAAGGAATTTGTCACTGGAAGCCAAGTCCAGCTCTCACAGAACAGTAAGAGTTGG